ATATACTCGTAGAATTAGCGTTATGGTAATTTTATTCGTAAATTTATTGACCATAGTCAGTTCATAAATATAAGTGAATTCTTTTGTTTTATCTTCTTCTGATAATGGGTAGTTAAGGGCTCTGTTGAATAAAAAACGGAAGTTCGCCAACTTATGGGGCAATGAATGAGAAGAATCATATGGAATTATAGTAGAAACATTATTCGGTTTACGAAAGATGTCATAACTGATGTTATTGTTCAAATTTCTAAGATGTAAATTTAGAAAATTAATTTTTTTCTAATTCAAAAGTAAAATCCAGATTAGAGTGAAACTGATTGATGTAGTTATGGAAGAGCTGGAGAGATCACCTAACCCAAGTGGTTATGTATTGTTTAAAAGGGTTGCAATCATTGATAATGAAAGTATTTTCAATATGGTCGAGGAATATTGCAGATAAATGTCGTGGCAGTGACATAGCCATGAGAAGGCCTTCAGTAATATCATAGTAGTTATTATGAAAAGAGCATAGTTCTGTGTGACAACATATCTCAAAATTGTATTCAAATCCTTTACTATAGTGTTGTTGTTACAAAATTTTTCAAAAATATGTCATATTAAGTGAAGAGTATATTCTATAGGAATATTTGAATAAAGGTTTGTGACATTAAAGGAAATAAGGATTTTATTGTTAAGTTCAATATTCATGGTGTTTTGAACGAATAGTAATGAATTAGAAATGGAAAATTTAGGCTAGAAGGCAATAAGCTTGAAAACGGTGAACATAAAATTAGTTAACTTTAAAGTAGGAGCTTTACTAAAGGATATATATCTTTATGAATTTTGGGTAGTGAGTAAAGTTTAGGAATTTCGGGTTTCATATGCGTGAAGCAACTATTGAAGAAGTTGTGAAGAATTGTTTATCTTGGGGGTGTAGTATAGTAAAGTTTCTTTACAAGTGTTTATTATTTCTTTTGTTTTTCTATTGATGTTTATTGGATTTTTAGTCAGCTTTATGTAATTATTATTATGTATGAAAGTTAAAATCTTTTGGATGTAAGAATCTTTCTTAATCTTAATCTTTTTCAATAATTACTATTCCAGCTCCTTTGTCTGCTTTTACAAAAATTGCGTTGTTTTCTTCAAGCTTTTTCTTTATAGATTTTATGAAATTCCAACATTATGTATTTGAGGTTTTATTTATATGTATTTTCTTTCGTGATCTTTTTAAGCCGATTTTTTAATCGGCATCAACAGATCCCACTAACAAAAGACGAAATGGGATTGTGTGGGTGACAGTTAGATTGCTGGGCATAACGGTGAACTCCAGAGATCTGTAATTTGATGTGCATGTGGCTGAAATTGGTAAAAAGATCTCAAGAAACATTTTTCTACTACGTAAACTAGTGAGCTCGGTACCTGTCGAGGTGGCCAAAACTGCCTATTATGCGCTGATACACTCAATGATTGACTATGGTATTATTGCCTGAGGTGGGAGACCAGCAAGTAATTATGTGTTTGGTTTACAACGCAGAGCTGTGAGAGCGTTGGCTAAACTTAGCTATAGGGAAGATTGTAGCCTCGCCTTTGAATCCTTGAATATTGTTTCCATCATTGTTTATTCTGAAATGTTATATAGCAAACATTCATAATAATGATGAACAGTATAAGACGCACGCTGACGTGCACAGTTACTTTACTAGAAACCGTACGAACATGTAGATTTTTGTTGGTTGAGGAGAACGCAGAAAGGTCATTTGTATACTGGTCAGATTTTGTATAATAAGTTACCGCAATCTATTAGGGCACGACAACACAAACAATTTAAAACTGGTATAAAGAATTTCCTGATGACGGGTGCGTTCTACTCAGTCGAGGAGTTTTTAATGAATGTATTTTTATTCGTATTTTGTTGTATATTCTGGTTAAAATGACGTGTGTAAGCCTTTGGCATAGAGCACTAATAAAGTTACTATTATTATTATTATAACGTTGATTTTCTGCCAATAAGCCAATATAGGTGTTTAAATTTGATATCAAGTTCCTCGCGTTTTTTTTTTGACGTGAGCTTTCCATTTCAGTTTGGCATCCAGCGTCATACCAAGATATTTTGCGGTGTCGGCGTATGGGGCTGCATTGCCATTTATGTGTACTGGGACATAGTTTACTTTCTTATAAGTAAAGTTTATGTACGTCGATTTATTTGTATTTAATTTTTTTAGCCATCGTTTGGTCCAGTTTTCTATTGACTTTATTTTCTGCAACAGCCAAGATCGCTGTGTCATCTGTGAATGGAGCTGTTAAAGTTTCTGGTATCTGAGGAAGGTCGAATGTGTAGAGTAAGTATAATGTTGGACCAAGCACACTTCCTTGAGGAACTCCGGCTTGTATTTCATGTAGTGCTGAATAAGCGTTTTCGTGTTTTACTCTGAAATATCAATCAGAAAGATATGATTTTAATAGTTGACTATACATTGATGGTAGTATTATTATGTGTTGGTGTTAGGGCTTTTTCTTCTATGCCAGGTTTTAGTCCTTTTACTAATATATAGAGAGTGGGTGTTTTCTTTACGTCCGGAGTAATAAAACAAATTGTCAATAATAAGTCAAATTGATTAATCTGTTTTTGATTTGACGTAAGTTTTACTCGGATGATTTTTGTTTTGTTTGATTTATTTAATTAATTGAAACACCTCTAGAAACCAGAAAGAATTTTATAACTTTGATGATTATAAAATTTAAATACATGAAGATTCCTCTTGATTTTTTATTTATTCCACTGTCAATACATTTAACGTTTCGAACTGTTTTGAACAGTTCATCATCAGAAACCGCTCTAAAAAATTTTTAAATCAACGTCGACAAAATTATCTACATTACGGAAATCGTTAAACAAATCGAACGCACACGGGTATACATTATTACAAAAAAGGGGACATAAACAAAACAAAAAAGTACCTTTATCGAGTATCCTTATTAATTAATTTATCAATTTCGTCGTTAAATTGAGAGATAAAATAAGTAAATTCTATAAAATATATCCCGACAATAACTAATAAAATTAAAGCTATTTTTAAGAAACATGAATTTCAAGAAATCAAGTTAGCACAATATAACAATAATAAATTAACCAATATTTTGAGTAATATGAAAGACAAAATAGATAAGACGGACAGAATTAATACCATATACCAATTAGAATGTAATAACTGTAATAAGGTGTATATAGGTGAAAGTAAACAACAATTACATAATCGTATAAAACAGCATAAATACGATACTAATCAACACAAAATTATTAATAAAACAGCCCTTTGCCAAAAGAAATAAGAAAGAAAGAAAATAAAGAAAGAATATTCAAGCCATCTATATCACCAATAACATTAACAAACATTAAACAAACTAGATATATGATTAGTTATTAATTATTTGTAATTTTAGACAACTGATATTTTAATGATCTCTATAAGAAATATATATATATATATATATATATATATATATTTTAATTGTATATTTTGTTGATAATTATGGATATTAGTAAATTTAAATTGAATTGTATCGATTTCCGTAGAGCACATTGTTAAAGAAAAACTGGTTTCCGTCACGAGTTTTCCTTCTTTGTTGTAATTTTGTTGTAATTTGAAAATATAATAATAAAGAAATTTGAGATCATGGAAAATACACAATTTAACGACGAAATTGATAAATTAATTAATGAGGATACTCGATAAAGGAATTTTTTTATTTTGTTTATGTCCCCTTTTTTGTAATAATGTATACCCGTGTACGTTCGATTTGTTTTAACGATTTCCGTAATGTAGATAATTTTGTCGACGTTGATTTAAAATTTTTTTAGAGCAGTTTCTGATTATGAACTGTTCAAAACAGTTCGAAACGTTAAATGTATTGACAGTGGAATAAATAAAAAATCAAGAGGAATCTTCATGTATTTAAATTTTATAATAATCAAAGAATATAAATCCTCTTTAATCATATAATTAATTCTAATTACAGAATTTTATAACATTGATATGATTTAATTTTGTATTTTAAGGATTCTCTTGATGATGCAGTTAAGTTTCTCTTAAAAACTGCGAAGCCGGTAGAGAAAATATAAATTAATACGTTCATAAGTGCACAACATTTGTTTTTTACTAGTAGGTTTTCAAGAAGTTTTGATAGTAAGGGTAATAATGAGATTGGCCTATATGATGTAACATCTGTGGGGAGTTTACCAGGTTTTGATATTATCATTGTTTCAACAACTTTCCATATACTTGGGAAGTATTTCTGTTTAAAAGCAGTATTAATTATTATTTTTTATTAACTAATTTTTATTAATTAGTTTTGTAATCGCCCGTTTTGGTAGACGTTTCAATGTTTCTCCATTAATTAGGTCAAAGCCTACTGATTTCCTTATATTTAGTGTTTGTATTTCGTAATACAGTTCTTTTATTCTTACACATGGTATATTACTCAGCTGATCACTTTGAATTATGCTAGGAACACTATTTAACATAGTTGTTGGACTGTCTGATGTAAAAGTTTCTTTCAGATGTTCAGCAAACAAATTAACTTTTTCTTGATTGCTCTTAGCTCAATTTCCATTACTATTTCGAATTGGAGGTGTATATGTTTTTAGAACTTTAAGCTTTTCTGTAGCTTATGTAAATTATTTAATAATAAACTATGACAGTAAGTTATAAATATATTGCTTTTTTCTACTTATTTTATTTGCGAATATCTGTCGTATGATATGTTTTTTAACGTAGATTCGGCTGATGATGAGTCGAAACCGGTTCCGAATAAATATATTATTTTAAAGCAAGTAAGAAGTTTTTTTTGCAAGTATCGCATCTCAAAAACTGATTGGATTGTCATGATGATATACGAAGAATTTTAAATTAAAATTAATCTAGTTTTAGTATGTCATAAAGGATTTTTTAATTTTTATAAAACTGGCTGATATTTTTTTGGATTAGTCTTATTACACAAATAGCAAAATAAAAAACGTTGAAATTTATTTATTATTTATTTATTGATATATTATTTAACTGAGAAAACCTGGACCCATTTAATTTCGAAATTGTTACAATTTATAGAAACACGTTTTTTTATCATAGAAATTTGTATACATTTAATACAGATATAGTAGACGATTAAATTGACAAATTTATTAATACCATCATTATAATTTTTTAACATATGCATATTTTCATTTAAATCAGCATTAATCGCTAATTTAAATAAACATTAGCTTATATATTTTAGTTAATCTTTATGGAAAAAATTTAATGAACTATTCTACTACTTAAAACAGGTGATTGAGTAAGAGTACTAAGAGAATTCGGATTAGATTTGGACACCTCTTTTAACCTATTAACACCTCTTAGGGAATGATTCCGAGGCGTAGAAGTCGCCTCCCCAGTTTGTTGTTGGCCCCCTGTTATTGCTCCATTGGTATCCGTTTTCGATGGAGACACATTCGGCGTTTCATCCATAAATTTATCTATCTGCGCAAACGTTTTTAACGGAGAATTTATTTTAGGTTGGATTACTGCTGGTTCTTCGGACTTCTGTTCTGGATCAACTATTCTAAATGCTTCTAAAAATTCGTTTAAATCGACCATCCCGTCGTTGTTCAAATCCATCATTCTACAAATGTCTTTTAATTGGTCCTTTGTTATCGGTGTTGGGATGTGTTCTTTTATTAAATCGTAAGCATCTAACATTTCTTCCAGTGATATTGAACCTTTAGAAATAAATTTTTGTTACTTCTTTTTAATTTAATTATTTGTTTTCTTTATCAATACCTGAATCATCTTTGTCTATTATCCTAAAAATAGCTTCTAAATTTGATTTATTTCTGTAGAGAGTGTCAGAAACGGTTGGAGTAGTTTGATATGACTAAAAAAGGTAAAGTTGTTATAATTTGTAATTAAACCATGATTTATTGCATAATATACATTAATATGACCATAATTTTGAGTATAAATTCTAGTTTTAATAGTTTATGATGGAAAAATCTGTAAGTTATGGTTGGTCTTAAAACGCAAGTGGCTCTTTTCCAGAAAAAAGAGGCTTTATACCCTTCAGTAAGAAAAAAAGATATAAGTGGATTTTACGGCCAACGTCCCCGTTTCGGGTAATAAAAAATGATAACGCTTAATTACGGACTTACGTCGCCCTCTTCCAGAAAATCGAACGTCGTCCCGTATTGGACCCTTTCAGAATCCGGGTTCACTAAAACCAATTTATCCTTTAATATCCTCCATGGTAATGATAATCCGGTTGCTGTTAACATTGCCGAACACCACTCGCTTATCGTTATGAAACCTTAAAAAAAAAATAGAAAATATCATTTCTTATCACCTTTTTTAACTTTAGCTACTAACCGCTTTGATTAACATCATATTTTTTAAATTCGCATTCCAATCGTTCCCTATTTGAAATAATATGTCCTCTAAGTTCTCGTAAAGCCGATCGTTCGATAACGCCCAATCGTTGCGTAATGGTCAAATTTTTCGTTTTCGATGTGGCTGCTGTGTATTGAACGTAATGCGTGTCCATATGCGAACCTACCAGTTTCACGTAGGCCCCCTTGTTCGATCCCAATTCGTAGTAATTGGATGCGGAAAATATCGTGATCACTTTTTCGTTGTGAATCACTTCGTAACCATCCGCTTTGCACTCGTGACTTCGAATTAACAATTTCAATTTGTAACGTTTTAGGAAGTTTTGAGTGACATCCGGTCCGAAATAACAACCGGCCCCACGAATTTTATTCGGGGCGCTACCCTTTACCGATTGGGGATCACTCCATAACAAATCGAATACCTTAAAAAATTATAAAATTATTTTCACAAATTTATATGCAATAGTATAATCGATATAAACATTATTGTCCAAGTTACAAAGTAATAAAACTATGTGTATTTAGTAGATGGATAGAGTTAACAACAATAACAAGATATCCGGAAGATCCAAAATACGATAAAGACAATGCAATAAACTGCAGAACACAAAATATGTTTTTAAGAATATTATTTAATGACGTGGCATGCTCCTGATGATGAATGCGATTAGCATTTGAAACCGGTTGAGCCTAAATAAAATCTATCCATCTGCTAAAAACACATAGTTTCATTACTTTGTAACTAAATATAAAGATGGAAAGGAGTAATTACAATAATAATGATTATTGTGAAAGTTGAGTATCTTTAATTTTTGAATATGTTGTAAGAATTAAAAATTCTAATAGACTTTTATTTTCTATAATAATAAAAATTTATTATATTATTCCTAGTTTAGAGCAAGCATTTGCGAAATGAGATCGATTGATACCCAGAGGCGACGCAGCACTTCGGCTGTGATGTCGAAACGTCACTGGACATGATTGGATGCTAGAGGATACGCAGTTAATCGTTGGAAAGAAATGGGTCAAAGTTAGTCTTACCGAACGAGATAAGACCACTGAGCAGGTACTTCTGTAACGGCCTTCTCTAAGAATGAGGAAGAGGAAGAGACTTGTTTAACTATCATTTGAGTGCCGGTCGATGATCTGTACTAAAACTTTGAAAAACGACCACAGTCTACCCAAGATATATCAACAAATCCTGCCATATCTTGAGCAATTCTGTTTGTACAATAGGATATACGTAATGCAACAAACAGAGGAGGATAAACGCCCATCTAGGGATAACAGCCCTATCTTATGAAACAATCCGAGATAAAAGACTGATTTTATGCAGACGATCAGGTAAACGGAAATTGCACCTATACATTTGATAAGTATAAGCTAGAAATCATTTCACAACAACAAAAGGAGTTATAGCTGCCAGACAAAGCAAGATGCTTTCGGAGTAGCCTTAGAACCAATAAACGCTAGATTCTGCAAACTACGAATAAAGAGAATGTTTTTCAACTACAGTACAATCATTTGTCAAGCCACATTCAAGGAAAAAGACGAACTAGAAAAGGATATGTTTTATGAGGAGCAAACAAGCAATCCCCAAGGCATGATATAATAATCATAATCGAGGAATTGAATGCAAAGAAGATCAAAGTGGGAATTTAGACCAACCACGAGAAAGTACAGCCTGCACCAAGAGAACAATAATATGTCAACCACATACAACTACATAACGATAGATATGAGACACACAACTGACATTATTAACTGCAGAAGCTACCGAGGCGCCAGTATAGATTCAAACCACTATAAAAAATAATTGTTTCAATAAGAGTACGTATATCAAACGCAAGGAAGACGGAAGAAACACAAAGAAACATCGAACAATTAAAAGAGATATGATAGAAATACACATGGGAATCGAATAAGAAAATAGAACGTGTAAATAAATTTATATATTTCAGATTCTTAATAGACAACAGTAATAATACCACCAAGGAAATCAGAAGACGAATAGTAAATGCAAATAAATGTTATGACTTCGAACCAGTTTCTGAAGAAGATTGCAACATGGCATCCGAAACTTCAAAGCTTATCTTAAAAGACGCACGGCAAAACCAATTCACACCCGGCCGTGAAAGCCTTCGTACTTATACAAATAAATGTTATTAAGGTCTATCAAATCAATTAAAATCAAATTATATCTAAAAAAATATAAAAATTAAGTTTATATAAAATAATTATAAGACCAATAAATAAGCTTAACCAAAAAGGATGAAAAAATGCTCTCATACTTTGAAAGAAAGATCCTCAGTAATATACATGGAAGAGTGCCCAAAAATAGTATATGGAGAATCCTTTTTAACCACGATTTGTACCAGAAGTATAATATAACGAAACAAATGTTAATTTCGGCAAGGTATGCCGATTGAGATGGGTGGAAAATGAACGAACACGAAATGACAAGAGAAATGGTAACACAAGGCACAATGAAAAATGCAAAGACCAAAACTACGCAAAACTAAACAGACGATGTAGAAGTCCTAATGGACACGTTTTCGTATATTCCAAGTATTACCAATGCCTGGCAACGATTTTATTTTATTAATGGTATCTGTTAAATAATAATAACAATAAACAACAATACGTATAACACATAGTGCTAATATACCCAGCAGTGTATACTTTTTTTATTATTCTACTACTGGGGCGATCTGTTAGGTTCCGAGCCTCACATAGGGTAATTTTTGAAACGTTTCATATGACGTGAAGCATGGTTTGTGTTGTCTGTAACTGTAGCAATGTCCAAGTGTTCATGGATTAGTTTATTTCTTATATACCAGGACGCATTTACTATTTGCCCCAACACTTCAGATTGAATCAGTTAGAGTTTTATTATATGTCTATTACTGGGAGCCTTTCAAATCGAATGGGCATACCTAGGCTATATACCCTTAGCGCAATCTAGGATATATCTCCGTACATCCATATAATCTTCAGGATAATTATACTACAGCAGATTATTTTCAGTTGTGAGGTATGAATTTTTTTCGTTAAACCAATATGGTCTGTTATAGAAGAGTGTCAGCTGGAGCCTTTTACTCCAGATATGTTTTCCCTGAAGCCTTTTAATGCGGAGAGGAGCGTTATCCACGCTAACAAATCATCGTGCCACACCCTACCGAAAATCTGTGAGATATCCAGAAAAGCTGCCGTACAATAATTCTTTGTATCGAAACGGCGAGCACATTAAATGATAAATCTCTAGGATCTGTTTTTCTTCGCCTCTGTAGATTTGTCTCGTATGACGTTGAAAGATTGTATATAGACGATTTGCCAACATGAAAGCTCTGTCTTCAACACTTCTTGCTCATTGACCATTTTACACTATGTTTTCAGATGTTTTATAACATTGATTCATGAATTTATTTAGCTTTCAAATAAAGTACTTGGTATCAGAATTATTTGTAAGGTTTTCCAAAAAAAGATTGTACTAGGGATTTTTATACAGAGATTTATACATACCGAGCGGTTGTTTTGTCAGTTTTTCCTCAATTTATTTTTCTCTCTAATCCGTTAAATATATAGTTTGGGTAGGTGCATTGTTCATATGTATGTTTAGGCGCACGAGCTGCAACCCATGAAGTCTGTTGAATTAAATGCGTTACGTTTCGTTTCGCTATTTCTACATAATCCTGCGATTGAAGAGGAATATGTATAAGATGAGGGAATTTGATCCATGTTGACCAGTTATTTTCTATAATATAAATTCAATAAAAAGCAATACTTTTTCTGGTCTTTTTCAATTTATTGTCTAACCAGTTTCGGCTTACGCCATCATCAGAGACATTAGTAATATAGATTAGATTTTAGCAACTTATTTTCCATTTTGTTGTTCATCTAAACGGCTTCACAAAGGTATACAAGTTAAAATTATAAATATAAATGAACATTTGTGCCCGTCAATCCGGGTTTTATAGTATTTTTGTTTTATATTTTAATGTGAAAATTTTAACTTTTAACGTGAATTTTAATATGTTTATATTTATAATTTTAACTTATATACATTTGTGAAGCCGTTTATATGAACAACAAAATGGAAAATAAATTGCTAAAATCTAACCTATATTACTAATGTCTCTGATGATGGCGTAAGCCGAAACCGGTTAGACAATAAATTGAAAAAGACCAGAAAAAGCATTGTTTTTTATTGAATTTATATTAAGGAATATGTATAAGACGAACTTTTTAAAACATCTTCATATATTTCTCAGTTGGTGAGTTCATTATTTAGGAAAGGCCTTCAGATTTTGGATGCCTCTGTGTTTATAAATACAAAGAAGGGCGAGTGATCGGACGATGAGTCAAAAGAAATCGATGATAGTGCGAATATTTGAAGTTTTAAGCGTGTAGGAGTTATTTGGTATACAAATTTAAGCGATTCTCACATTGTAATTATACTGGCTTCCATTGATAATATTTTGCCACCAGCCGCAATGAATCAGTGGCGATGATTTTTTCAACTTCTTCAGAAACACTCCCTTCCTGAGACATCCCTACATTACTTCTCTCTATTCACGCTGTTCCACAATTACCACAATTGCTTTGATTCTAATTGTTTATCCCTAACCCTCTCCACCATCCATTCATCCCAATCATGCCGCTACCATTCCATCATCTGTTCCATCTCGCGCCTTATCCACCCTTATAATATTATAGAACCTCCCCTCTTCATCATCGCTCGCCATCAATAGTTACTTTCTCCCTGCACCACTCACTCTCCACATTATCTTCCATCCTTTATCTTTTACTTCTCCTCTATCCTATCTATACCCTCTCTTTTCGCGCTAACAATTTCCCGTTTTTATTCCTGCCTAGCCTCTATGTAACGTTGTTTCTGATTCCCCACTTTCTGTCCACGTGCCCTCCTGTCCTGATAATTTTCTCTCCTCATTATTTTTCTCCTCTCCTGCAGTTTACCATTCCACCAGCACACATTCTTCTTCCTTTCCCTCTCCTTAACACTTTCTCACATGCATACTTTATTCCCTCACTCCACCTTTTCCCTCTCTCTACCTCAGCAATTTCCCCCAGCACACCTGACCTCCTGATGTGTCCCTCTAACACCATAATGAACTTGTTTCAATCCACATTTCTATGCTCATGCGTGACTATTACCGCGTTCACACTTTCATTTATACTGTACCTTACACTCTATTCTATCATCCTAAGGTCATTCAACGTCGGCTCATACCCTTTTGATTTTATTGGTTTACTTCCTTCTTGGTTGAGAACTATATATTCGTGCAACATAATCCATTCATTCGTAATTTCTCCCCTACTATCAATCTTACAGTCACCCCATGCTGGGTGTCTCGCGTTAAAGTTGCTGAACCAAAACCGTTTGAAGCGACTTCATACTTATAGTATCATTATTCTCTTATACATGCTCTCTCAGATATGCCTCCTGTAGCAATAACACATTCGCCTCTTCACACGTTCAAAATTAATTATTTATTTTGACCCTTAATTACTGTCATGCAGTTGTGAAAAGTATTACGTTTTTCAAAGATCCATGGACATACGTACAATATGAATAGAGAAGATGGTTGGAAACTTGGCCGCACATAGAAAATGCTAGTTAACTCTACAAAGCCTATTTATTAAATAGTTAAGAGCTCGTTCTATTATGTTATTTGGCTCGCTTACATTTGAGGTTGTTAACCTCAAATCGGAAAATCAAAAAGTAAAAAGATCGATTTTGTCACTTCGAACTTGTTTTTGAAGAAGGTTGTTTTAGATCTACTATTAGTTCTAGTGATAGTGTTGTTGTTTATCTTGGAGACTAGAGAGATTAATAAATCAATCATTTTGACCATTTTTACATCGTTTACGAACTATTTGTTGTAAATTATTTGATGAAGGCGATGATCGATGAATTTGGGTAGGATTACATGATTCCTGCTGTTGATAAAGATTAGAACGTTGTTATTAATAGACTGACAAGTCGCATGTGCACCATTCCTTGGCGGTTATTCAATAGTCTTCACGCGCAAAGGTGGAAACAACACATCCTTTATAGTTGGGTTGATAATTTAGTCCGCTATTTGGACATTTAACATTATTACTTATTCCATCACTTGAACACTGAGATAAGGTGTCCTTCGGCACATTTTACTCGGCAATGTTCTCCAAAGCAATATTTCCGCGTGTGTCCAAAGTATTGATATCTTAAGGATTGTGGTAATTGGCGAAACTATTGACCCTGCAAAATTTGGACATGTCGACTTTTAGTGCTTTATGGATTTTCTGTTTCTACGTTCATAATTCCAAGTCTTCTAAACTTTCTTCTTCTTCCATCTCAAACACACTTCCATAACTTGACTCAATCATTGCTTTTCTTTTTGATATAAATAGTGAACGAAGAACAACTTCACAGCACCGTCAGTTACGTTGGACTGACTTTCCATAATTTAAAATACAAACCAAATGTGTTGGCTCCAAATTGATAAATATATTCAAATATAATACATCTCAATAAACCTGTATACAGTATATAGTTCCAAAACAAGTTGGAACGTTAAGGAATAATTGATCAAACCAGAAATTACAGCGAAAGTTATAATGCATAGTAAATTACTCTAAAAACATAGTGAACAAGAAATATTGCTTTAATCTAAATTTAATTTTCAATTAAAATCACCTTAAAATAAACTACATGCTTTGTTACTGTGTTAATAATATGTAGCAAACTTTATAATGTTACGTTGTTGTTAAGTCCCCACCGCTACCTAATACAATCTCTCGTGGTGTAAAACCTTCCTAAACTTAATTTGGTGGTCTGTCGACCACTTTGTAATTGAATTTTGAAAATCTGTTTCTACTTTAAGTCATATTTCTTACATCAACCATTCAAAGATACTCAATAACGATCCGTGAATCTCGAATGGGTTCAATAAATTGACTATTTTAGTTTTAATAGAATTCTGTGTTAAAATATGCGTAAAGTTATTCACCAAAGGGAGGTATTGGAAAATTAATATTTAATGTAATGGGAATGTGCATTTCGATGCACACACATTTCAAAAATCACACGTGGCTGAATTCGGATTTTGCAGCAGAATAAATTTGCACAGATTATTATTTTAACTAAAACATTAATCTCTGCGTTAACATTCAATATTTTCGTTTTTCACAAATCCAATGAATCGCAAAATCGGCTTTTTTCTTACCTGTTTCCATTCGACTTTGTCGATTTTATTCGCTCCTGGTGCTGAACTATCACTTACTGGAGGTCTAAGCACCGAAACATACTGAAACAAAACTCTTATTACTACATTTTTATGCGTAACGTGTTTATGTATTAGTGAGATTGTTCGGGTAAAATAGTCCAAATAAATTTTTGAAACGATCCTTTAAAACGTGGGCGTGGGAAATTTCACATTGTGAACCGTGTTTCGGAGAAGGTGGGGCCCCAGGTGGATTGTCGCATAACCGTGAGGTCGTGTCAACCGGAGCTTCTGTGGCTATTAGCATTCAGGAAATGCAGTTGCACGCAAAAGGAGGCTTTGTCGTCCACTGGCAAACAGTACAACTATCCAACCATCGTTTAATCCACTTTAAATTACCACATCGCGTTTATACATTTTGTACGCAAATTGTTTATGTTCCCTATTACCGAGTAAACCAAAAAAATGCTTTGTTAGTTATTTCCAAAAAGTACATCGAATATACACGATGAGTTTGTGAAATTAAAAAGTACTTTTTAACCATACAAAAACACCGCGTTATTCCAGCCATCCCTTTACACACCAACTTTTAACATTTCCGCTTACGCTTGAATGAATAATAGTTCCGCGTTTAATCCTACGCTGTCAGTTTTCTGAAAGTCCGCAATTGTTCGACGTCATGCTGTTCGTTTTAACACGTCCAAAACGTATGGTACAGATTAAGTTAATTAATACTCGATGTGAAAATCTTTTAAGTGTACTGTTTAAGTAAATACAATTTTCTTGTTAAATCCATTAAATTCGGAAAATTTAACAGTTTGCTACTGGGAATGAATCATTGCATTTCGAAATAGATTAAGGGAGAAGATCGAATTAAACCCAGTTAATAACGAAGAAGACATAAACATGAGCTGACAGAAAATAGAAATAACCACATAAAACGCAGGAACAAAACCGCTAGGGAAACGAACAATAACAGTAAATAGCAACAGAGACAATAAAGAAACAAGAACTAAAGATAAATGTAAGGAAAAACTAAACGCCTATGAAACCTTCTTGTATTTATTCTGTAAATTTGGTGTTTGAGTTGATTATGAGTCCTTGTCTAATACCAGGCACTCATCTTTTATAGTCCACAAACTCACAATTTTCGTTGTTCTCAAATTATAAAGAGGTAACCACCACCACAAAGGGCAAACTGTCCAAGAAGGGGGAGTCCCGAAATCCAACACTTGTTTCATTTCTCTCACATTTTCCTATTAATTCCACCGCTTTATAAATTAAATAATATTTGTCATTATTATTTCTATTATGGAGGGGTTCATAGTTTTCAAAGAGCTATGCGAATCTGTGAAGATCTCCACGAATGATAGAGATTAATTGCATACAAAATCCAATGTCCAAATAATTCAACCACAATAATTGTCAATTTACTTCGCATTTTGCTCGAGAAGTTCAAGAACAACTTGGAACAGTACGTCCTAAAACCAGCTTTGGATTCCTTTTTGTTAATAAACCCGTCGGTGTAGAAGAAAACAGCACGCGGAAATAGATGCTTCACCTCATGATTAAATGTCGCATTAAGACATACTCCTGCTTTACTCCATCTAGTCAATGATCCTACCAATGATATCTCACATCTTACATTGAGTTGAACTTACTCTAAACTGCGGCTAAATCTATCATTCAAGCTGTTCTGCATAGAATGTCACGAACACAGACTTTAGTACGATGATGTACGAGATCATGTACAATATTTATGGAATTTTAAAAATTAAATGGATATTAGATTAGATTGATATTTATTTATCAATCTGTTTTTTGTTTTTTTTTGTAAATCATATAACAAATCATTTATTAAAACAAAATTTACATGGCACACTTTGTGTGGTGCATATCACACTACAATACTCCCCCTTCCGTGAACAAGAAATTAATAAAAAGAGGAAGGTAAAATAATGGTACAACTTAAGAAAGTGATATGTTGTAGTAATAAAAAATAACGATTATATGTTAAAGTGTACTTTCCTATTCGAGGATGACACATGTTTATCTATTTCCGAATTATTGAATTGAATACTATCGTTAAAGATAAACGCGGGCTTAAGGCGATCGATATTAACAATAATTTTATTATTGCCTTTCTGAATAACGAAATATTTGGTTGCTTTTGTCAGAACTCTGAAAGGCCCTTCGTATCGAGAGATTCAAATCTTCAATTCTAATGAAAACGAAATTTGATTTGTGCAAGTCTTTATGAATAAAAGGTTTTTAGAATAAAGTGAAAAGACGTATTCACAGGTCTTAATTTGAAAAAAGTGTCTCTTGAACTGGAGAGGAAAGTATAGATGGATTAGTAGGTATGAAGAACTCTCCAGGAAGTCTTAGTGGTTGGCCGGAAAGCAGTTCTGCTGAGGAGCAACCTAGATCTTCCTTAAGTGATGTTCTTAATCCTAGTAGGATGAGGGGTAGATTGTTTTTCCATCTAGTAGTGTCTTCTTTAGCGATGATAGCCGTCTTCAATGATCGATGAAATCGTTCTAACATTCTATTTGCTTGAGGATGGAAAGATGATGTGTGTATTTGTCGTGTGTCAAGTAATGCGTTAAATTTTGAAAAGAGGTTTGATTCGAATTGCCGTCTCTTATTATGTGTTATTGTGGTGGGTATACCAAATCGACTAAAATAATGCCGGAAGAGTGTGTTCGCTATAGTAGATGTGATATCTTTCAGCGGAAAAGCTTCTGGCCATCGAGTGAAGCGGTCGATAACTGTAAGTACATAAGTACAACCTAGGGACGGAGTGAGTGGTCCAATCAAGTCGATATGTATATGATCAAATCTAATTTTAGGAATTATGATGTGGATGATTGGCGATTTTGTATGTTTTTGGATTTTTGCTTGTTAACATTTTAAGCAGGTTTTGGTCCAAACATGAATTTGTTTTGACATGTGTGGACAAAAGAATCTTGTTTTGATTGCTTGAATGGTGGAACGTATTCCGGGATGAGATAAGCTATGAATTTTGTCAAAAATTGCTTGTCTGAACTGTTGCGGAATATAAATTCTTGGAAATGATGAAGAGGTTGCTGTATTGCTGTATTATACTGCAATTTTCAATTCAAATCACGAAAAACTTGAAAGAATCTATAGTGCAGATGGTACTGGACGCGAAATTTTTCGCTGGGTCACAAGTAAAAATAGATGATCGGGATATTAGAAAACAAAATGATCCTACAGCTGCAATATCCGAACTCTTCAATAATCTGATAAGTAATTCTCAGACTATGTACACCCTTGGCGCGAATGCTACAATTGATGAGATGTTGGTCTATTTTAGGGGTAGATGTGGCTTTAAAATGTACATGCCTAATAAACCGTGTAAGTACGGACTCAAGATTTTGTGTATGGTCGATGTACGTAACCACTATTTCAACAATGGATACATATAGTGGAAAAGATTCGAATGGAAGAAGTTTGGATGATGAGATGAAAAAGCTTGCGAAGCCTACACAAGCAGTATTAAAATTATCACCACCAATTCAAAACACCAATTGAAACATCACAGCAGATAACTGGTTCACATCTGTTGAGCTAGTGGAAGAGCTGAGATATCGAGAGCTTACGTATGTAGGTACAGTGAAAAAATCCGAAAGACATGTTCCTGAACAATTTAAACCAAACAGACGTAGGAAAGTTGGTGTAGAAGGTACTCTTTTTGGTTTTACCAAAAATATAACCCTTGTTTCATATGTTCCAAAAAAAAACCAGAGCAGTGGTTCTCTTATCTTCTATGCATCATTTGAAAACATGGGACAATGACAAGCCCGAAATTATAACGTATTATAACCTTACAAGAGGTGGAGTTGATGCTATAGATGAGAAATGTTACAAGCATTCAACAAGCCGCAGAACTCAAAGATGGCAGATGACAATCTTTTTCCGGGTTGTGGACGTGAGTGGTGTGAATGCTCATGTTCTTCATCAAGCTTACAAAGATAATAACATTATGGAAAAACGGATTTCTTAAAAATACTTGCTGATCAGTTGGTAAAACCGCACCTTAAAAGGGGTAAATAGAATTTTAGATACTTCCGATGAAGAGAATAATGAACCAGTACAAAGCGAAAAACTGGAAAATCGCAAAACTTGTTATACCTGCCCATCAAGAAAGAAAAGAAAAACGTGTTAAATATGTTGTGCATGTCGCAAACCCATTTGTTTAGAATGCTCATCTAAGATATGCATAAACTGTAAAGCGTAATAAGGATTTTTGATGTTCACGGTTTGTAGTTTTTGTTATTTTTCGAAGAAAAACTAAATTTTTTGCTTGGGTTGACTATTATAACCCTTTTACATTTAGGATATAAGATTATGTTGACCAAATTGTTTAGCGTTATTGTACAGTGCAATTTTCTTTTGATATCTACATTTTTTAAGCAAAGTAAATATTTGTTCGAAAAATGTAGTGTTATAATTAATAAATATCTTTTATCTACAACTATTTAATTATCTATTCGTTATACATTTGATTTTTGACGGGTAATGACACGCATTACTCGCATGACTGACAAGTGTTGCATAATAAAGCCATTATTTCACAGTTCTGACACGAACTACAAATCAAAAAAAAAAAAAATAACAGAAATGACAGCTTTCTTATATCTATCAAGAAATGTCTATCAAGTTTCTTTTTCCTTTTTTGATTTTTTTTTTCAAAATTAAATAGTTGTAGATAAAGTATAGTATTCAACTTGCGTATAATGGATGTTACCCACTCAGATTACAACACTCGCTCGCTTCTCTCGCTCGTGTTGCAATTTCATCTTCGTGGGTAATATACTATTCTGCTATGAAGTACTACTTTTTCATTATTTAAATACGTATATTAAAGCTTCTCCATAAAAAGTTAAAAAAGAACAGCCAGTATAATGCCAACAAATTCTTGCGATCATGGAGACCGCACATCAGTAACAACGGGACTCGATATCACTACGGTGATTAAAGGTTAAATATCAGAAACGAATTCAAATATCAATTCTTGTGTCTTGTGCACAGGTTAATTACTACGGGGACTCCACCTT